GGGGGGGGGGGGCAGCCAACAGGAGCCTTTCGCCAGCCTTGAGCAGGACCCTCCCTCCGTGGCGGAAGAGCAGGACGCGGCCGAGGCCAAGGGCACGGGCAACGCTCCCCAGAGCTTGGGAGGCCTGGCCTGCTGGAGCCTGCCGCCAGGCGCACGGCCTCGATTCACGGAAGCAAGCATGGCCTGCTCCCGGGGAAGCGAAGCGCTGTGGCTGGTACGTGACGCCGGTTGACAGGGGCCCGCCCAACAGATACTGTTCTTTTGGGACCCTGGGAGCGCGTGTGCCTCCCGCTCGGCTCTCTGCCAGCTCTGGCGTCGGGCAGCATGCGCCCATGGCGGCCAGTCCCCGGTCGGGCCACGAGGACACAAGCAAGATGGCGGGCTTGGCGGGCCTCGGCTGCGACAGAGTGCGGCTCTCGCGCCCATCAGGGCTTGTCCGGAGCGCTGAGCTGCTGAGGCTGGGCGGTCTGCCTTGGTGGCGGAGGCAGGAGGTTTGTCGGGAGACGGCCCCTCCGCCGCGCAGCGAGAATGTCAAGCACATCGTAGCTGGGAGAGCCAGGGGGGCTCACCAGAACCTCCAAGCGAGGAGAAGGCGGCGTGGCTGGGAGGCCTGCTTCGGTGCCTTGCGCCGGCCACTCGCCAGAACGGACACCCCGCCACGAGGGGCCCACGGGCAGAGTGCCTGGCTCGTCTTCCGCTTTTACGGATGCGGCTGAGACTTCAGTCCACACTCTCATCCAGGCCTCGGGAAGCGTGGCGGCCCGAGTGTGGCGGGACAACCGAATAGACCCGAGGGCGGCACCGCAAGCAGCTTCCGGGGCAACTCAGCGGAGGGGGGAGGACACCCCCACAAAAGCCCAAGGATCAAACGCAGGAACAGAGCGAGAGGAAAGTTACCGCTTTCTTCTTCACGTTCTTCCACGTGCGCTCCTGGCCTCCGATGCTCTTTTGCATGTGGAAGACGCGCCTGTCGCACTCATTCCTAGAAAACAGCGCATTTCACAAGCCCCGAGGCGGACGGCTTGTGTGCGGGCTCAGCCCCACGTCCATCGCGCGCCCGAGCGGCAGCGAGGCCTCCCCTCCGCCTGCTGGAAGCCACGGAGCACCCACCTGTCCAGGGATTCCAGCATGCCGGGGCTGACGTGCTCACACTCGGGGGTCTTGGCCAGCGGGAAGAGGGCCGGGAGGGGGGTGATGGGGTGGCTGCCCTTCAGGTGGAAGACATCTTCCTCCGGAACTTTGCAGAACTGCGGCAACTGCAGGGCGCATCCTCGTTAGCCCCAGAAGGACAAAGCACCCCGCACGCCCCCCCCCCGAGGCAGCTCCCCCCTTGCCCGTCACGCTGCACGGTGGGCGCAGGCTGGCGGGGCTGAGTGATGCCACAGAACGCCCGCACACGTGCCCGCCGAGGCGGTCCCCGCCTGGGGGCCTCCCGGCACGCGGCGAGCAGCATTTACTCTGGCGTTCCTGTTCTGGAGGGGGCTCGCAGCAAAGATGTCGTCGTGGTTGTCCTTGGGCATCTGCTCGAGGAAGTGCCGCATCTGCCGCCGCCGCTTCAGCGTTCCCACCTTGGCAGCGACCACCAGCGGCAGCTCTGCCCTCTCCTCTGCCAACAAGGGTGCCACACAAGCAGGAGCGTCAGCCGTGCAGACCAGCAGCGCCCAAGCAGAGGCCGCAACGCCTCGGGCGCTCCCGTCACCCCGATGCCTCGGGGCGGGGTGGGGGCAGCCTCCCCCCGCACAGAGCCGAGGCAGCGCCGTTCGGGCATGGGAGTTCGCAAGCCATTTTCAAAGGCCAGGTTCAGACGTGGGAGGAACCCCTCCCACCAGGAAAGCGTTCCGCACCCTGCCGCCACCCCCATGCTCTTCCCGTCCATCCCGCCCCGCCTCGGCCCTCCCCCGCACAGGCGCAAAATTAGTGGCGGTTGGCCAGTCGGGCTGTGCAGGCCTTCCTCCCCACTGGGAGGGCCAAGCGAGCGGGGAGGGAGCGGCGGCGGCGACTAGGCGCACGCAGAGTCGGACGCGCCGGACTGGCTTCCGAGGTGTTTATTTACTGATCATCGCGTTCCGTTTTCCCACCGCCCAACGGCTGAGGAGTCGGGCATTCGCAGACCTGTGCCTCGTTCCTCCTTCCCGCGCGTGGCGGTCTTCCTCGGGACCCGTTTCCTGAGCTCTTGGCCTGCCATGTGCTCCCGCTGGCACTCCTCAGCAGACCGTGTCCCCACCACCTGTGCCACGTTCAGCCAGAAGCCGTTCTGGTACTTGGGAAAAGAAGCCACAGCCCTGCAAGGCAACGGAGGACGCGGTGAAGGCTGGTGCGTCGCCACAGCTCGGCTCCTCCTCCAGCCGCGCTCCGAGGGCCCGGTCCGCCCGGAGAGCCGCTTGCAGTGCGGACTTCGGGGCAGGACGGAAGGGGTGCAGCCACCGATCTCCAGAGAGGCGCCGTTCCTAGCACTGCCCACAGGTTTCACCCAGCACGATGCAGGCCAGAGACGCCTCCTCATCTACACAAGAAGGCCGAGCGGCAGCTCTGCGCAGCCTCCCTCTAGCGGCCCGGCGGGGAGGCGCCGCCGTGATCGGCCGCCATCACTTGCCTGCGCAGCTTCTGCAGCTCTCTCTCGGTCCAGCCCTCCCGCGCGTCTGGGGGGGAGCCGCCGGCCCTCCACGGCTCCCTGCGGCCAGGCGCCCTCGCCACGGTCGCCGCGCTGCCCGCCCTTTCAGCGGCCCCCCTTTCCTTCTGCTCCTTCAGCGGGGCTTCTCCAGCACTCGTTTCGCTCTCAGACTCCGATTCAAAGACAGACTTTCTGCCATTCTGCGACCTCCGGAGTCCTGCGGGGCTTTCCCCCCTCCTGCGTCCGGCAGAGGAGCCAGCCAAGCTGGAAGAGCTTTTATAAGGCGACTCCCCCAGCCTGCCATTCTGGCTGCAGCGAACAGCTGGACTCATTCTGCCGCCCTGAGGCGGGAGAGCAGGACCATCGGTCCCCCTCGGCGCAGAGGCCGGCCCTCTCGCGTCACTGCCGGGCGCCCCTTTCCTGCAAAAGGGCCGCGCCTTCCTCTTGATGTACGGCACGTCGTCGCTCGAGTCGCTCTCGCTGGCGCTGGCCGGCTCGCCATGCTTCAGGGATCTCAGCGGGTACTTGTGGGCACCGGGCGGCTGCTCCGCTGGGCGTGCTCCGTGCCAGGCCGCCTGGCCCCCCTGCTCCGGGGCTTGGCGCTTGCTCCGGGGCCAGCTCCCGTGCTCTGCAGCCTTCTTGCACAGCTTCTTCTGGTTCAGGGGCGTCAAGGTCACCACAGCCCGTTTCTTGTAAATGTCGTCCAGGGGGAACTCGCTGCTACTTTCCTCAGGCTCCGAAATGCCGCAGAATCCATCCTGCTTGTTTTGAAGCTCCGATTCTCTGGCACTGTTGGGCCGTGTACTATTCCTTCCTAAGGAAAGGAGGGACAAAATACTTCTGAATTTTGGACAGACCTTAGATTTTAGGCCAATTCTAATATAATGAGACACACCGACAAGAAAACACCCGCATGGCAGCTATTTTTCTCTTCAAAAGGCAGGAAGAGGCAGAACGCAGAGAAGCCCCCGGGCCTGGAAGCGCTTCAGCGTCAGCCAAGCCCTCCCCTTTGGCAAGTCCTCACTCTAAAAGGGTTCCCTGGTGTCTGATTAGGTCTAAAATTCTCCCTGGTCTGCTTGCTTCTTTTTAACAGCCCCGTTTTACATGAGCCACCGCTTCTGTGGCCGATTGCTGCCTGGAAGGCTCTTTTGGAGAGTGAAAGGCAGCGTGGAGATAACTGTGTAAACGGGGCACTGGCAGCCTGTGGGAGGAGACCAGAGGGCAGCGCCGGCCCCCCGGGACTGTGGCTTCTGCTAGGCGGGGCACTGAACGCTGCCCCCCTGCAGCCTGGCCGAGAAAGCGCAATGGCCACTTGAAGGGCTGCGCGAGGTGCACGTGCGTAGCGCGCACACCCATCCTGTCCCCGGCCACCCCACAACACTGCGGCCAGTCGCCTGAGCTGAGCGGCCCTGTCCCCTCCCGGTGCTTGTTCCACGAGGAGTGCTGCTGGTCAGCCCAGCCCAGCCCAGCCTTTGACCTCCGCCAAGTCCGCAAGGCGAGCTCTGGTGGTGACCTTTGCTCACCTGCAGCTTGGCCTTCAGGGGCTTCCCCAGGGGTCCTCCCGTCACCCTTGCCATTCGCCTTCCCCTTTCTGTCCGGAGGCCACGCATTACGCACTGTCTTGGAAAGGGAGAGAGGCAAGTTACTTGAGGCAAGCCGCTGGATAAACGTATGGCTCAAAATTACATGATAAAACACAAAAATTTAAAAAATTAATACAAATTCCACCAAGGCCCATTACGTCTCCCTCAAAATTGAGCAACAGGAGTTAATTCCAACCAAACCAACAAACAAGACGAGGCACGCGCGTCGTTCTGCATATCCCGCAGAAGAGAGTCTGAGAAAGGCCTGGACCCTGCTCCCAGCGGCAACGGGCCAAGGGGGCGCCCAGGCCGGTCGTGAAGGAACAGTCTGTCCTTCAGAAGGCCCACTTCCCAGGCCACGTTCGGCTGGAAGGGCCAAGCACAGCGCTCTAAACGGGACACCAAAATACGCGGCAGCCCCCACAGGCCACAGAGCCCTTGCGATGGCTCCGGAAGCTGAGCCCCCGGGCTCTCGCTGCCATGGCGCACGCTTGCCGGCTTCCAAGGCAGCCCCGTCCCCACGAGGCAAGCCGGGAGGTGCTCCTGGCAAGGGCCGCAGGGCCACGCTGGCTGGCGGGCAGGCGTTCCGGGCCATGCCCGCTGCGCCTCCATCAGACGCACTGGACCCGACTCTGCAGAGGGCGCGTAGCCCTGGGTGCCGATCCGCGGATTGCCCAGCGCCCGCTTGGCTTCAGCTGCTTCACCCTCGTTCCATCCACCCCAAGCTGCCTCCGGACATCTGTCGGAGCTCGCGCCGCCTCCCCGTGCTCCGGGCGGGAAAAGGCCTTACAGGGGTCAAGTAGTTGGTGCCCCCTCTGGTCACGGTGACGTTCAACGCCTGGTCGACGAGGATCCGCTCGCCGCACCAGAACTGCAAGGGCGGCTTGACGCGCCGGCCGCTGCGGGTGCAGCTTGTATCCAGGTCACCCTCTGGAGGGGACGCCTTGGGCTGCGTGCCTGTTGAGACAAAGAGCAACGGCGGCTCGCTCAGCTCCCGGGCCCCGGCCTGCGAGCCACAGCGAGGACCCTCCACCGAACGCTCACGTGCCTTCCAGTTCCCTCCACTCCTCAAACTCGCATGGGCTTCAAAGGAAAGGGCCTCACTGCTACAGCGAGGATGGGGGCCTACTGAGAAAGAAGCAAGAAAGCAGCATTCCCATCCTCGGCTTATTTAAAATGGGGGGCATAAAAGGCCCGTCCCTGTTGCCTAGAATTACAGGATAGGGGAGTTGGACGGGGCCAGCCTCCCAGCGTGGAGATCCCCCAGAGCGCCCCCGATCCCTGTGACCACCCGAGACAGCTCAGGGGCCTCTGCAACCCAGGCCCTCCACTGCCTGCTCCCAGTCCCATCTTCAGGAACAGGCCGAGGAGCACGGGGGTTGCAGATCCCCATGGAAGCCCTCCCCTCGGTTCCTCCCACCGTCAGGAGGGAGCACCCCTCCTCTGCTCAGCTTGCTACTCTTCAAGCAGTCGCTGGTGCCGCGTTTGCTCAGGAGCCTCTGGGAGGGGCTCCGTCACACCCACACACAGTGCACACGCTGCCAGCTCCCCCCCCCCCCCGCTGCAGCCGGGGTGCAGAGGGCACGGGCATGTGGGCAGCGGCCTGGGAAGGGTCTCCGGCCGGCCTGTCCCTCAGCTCTGGGGGGGGAAACGGGGCAGCAGGCGTGGGGACGGTCCTGAGGGTGGAACGTCAGGGATGTGATAGGAACGGGGCAGCGGGTGGGAGGCAGAGAAGGGGGTGCTGGCATCTCGGGGCGAGCAGCCGGTGCTCTCCTCTCGTGGTCGTGGGGCAACTGGCACCAGAGGAGGCCCCAGCTCTCAGAGGAGAGCAAAGGCACTGCCGCCTGGAGGCGCCGCGCAAGCAGGCTGCGGCAACCAGACCGGTGGGCCAGGCAGCGCAACGGAAAAAGGCTGGCCGGAGTGGCTGCTGCAGCCGCGGCCGCTCGTGCCGCCAGACTCCACAGCAGCACGCGAACTGGGTGCAGGGGAGCGCGGCAGTCCCGCAGGCCCTTGCTTCTCCAGCGTCATGGAAATCGAGCACGCCACACTTCACCGCGGGAGCGGGGCCCCGGTGAAATGAAGAGGCCAGCCAGGCCTCCCCTTGCCACCGTGGCTTGGCCCCTGAGTCCACCTGCTCTATCAGAAGCAGCTGCCGCCTTCAGAAGCTCAGGAGAGCACCCACTTCGCTGCACGGGGGGCACAGAGCTAGGAGTCCGCTCTGAATGTTCCCTTGGCTCCAAGTTTTCCATCACTTGTAGCAGGTCGGGAGGCAGTAGCTGAAAGCCCCACAAGGCACCTCTTGACGCTGGGGAGCGGCGTCCCTCAGCCCCGCTTCTTAATTTTTAACATAACTACTAACAGTTGTGCGCAAAATGAAGAAAGCAAAAAATAGAAGGCGCTGAATAACAAATGCTGGTAAACAAGCAATGAATATTGGTTATTAAAGGACTCGAAGGCTACCACAACCCCTCAAGAGCTGGAGGGAGGGAGGGAGAGAATATACCTACCATGTTTATTGTTTCGCTGTGCCAGTACTTCGTATGTGGTGTTTTTCACGTCAGAGTTTCTCCCGGCCTTTTTGGGCAGATTTTCCAGTCCTCGAAAGCCCCCTGTGTCCACAGAGTCCTCCTGTTCGTTGCTATCCTCACTCAAAAGCAAGACTTTCCGCTGTTTCCTAGTATTCAGAGGGTTCAGTTTCAGTATTTTAAATCTTTGTTTTGAGTCTCCATTTTAATGTGTTTTATCGCTGCTTCACACTGTAGTTTTTAGCCTTAGGAGGTCTATTGTTTTATGGTTTTAATTGCTGCGGCCTGCACGGGTCGCTCTGGCCTCCGTAATAAGCAGGTGTTGACAAGGAGTGGAGGTTGCTTCACTCTGTGAAACGGGGCTCTCGTTGCACCCCAAACCTCAAGCACAGGCCCCTGCAGGAGATGGATGTGCCAGTGGCGCTCAGCAGGAGCTGCTTCCTTGACTGCCCCCGTCAGGCCCCTCTGGAGCAGATCTGCCACAGCCGGGAGGCCTGCGTGCCTGCCAAGCGCCCCAGTGGAGCTGCCGTTCCTCCCATGGGGCAGCTTGCAAAGACGTGCAGGCAGCGGAAGGAGGATGACCCTGGGCATCGGCGGGGCAGCGAAGGAGGGGTGGAGTCAGCTCCTGAGGCAGCCTGAGGTCACAGGGAAACCAGACTTCCCTCCCCAACACTCTTCTGTACGGTTTTTATCATTGTCTCTTTTGCAGTGATTTTAAAGAAAGCATAGAGGTTTTCAGTATATTACCGCTTCAACAAACAAAGCAGCTCTTCAACATACACCTTCCATTTTCTTGGAATTCCAGATGCAAATCTCCTTATGAATTTAGCTGGCATTCCTGTTTGAAATAAAGTTACAGCATGTGGGCCATTGCTGTGTTTTAGACAGTGCTTCCTTTTTTCAAATGTTTGGAAAAGGAGAGAAAATGAACACTTTACCAAGGAGCCCCATTAAAACCCCTGCCCATCCAGATCGCAGCTGTAACCTTTGCGCCCAAGAGCCCGTTCAGGCCGGGTCCAAGGCACACGACTGGAATTTAATTTGGAAAACAGAGCACCAGACTTCCAGGAGGAGGGAGCAGGTATGTGTGGGAAAGGCATGAGCGTCACCTCCGAGGCGCAAAGCCACCCAGGCCAGGAGCTAGAAGAGCCGCCAACCTTTTCCAGGGGAAACTGCCCTCTGCATGCACCCTCCACCCTGGAACTATCCAAGTGGAACTATGCACGGCCAGAGTTGGGAGGGGCCAGGAAGGCCACCGGGTCAAGGTGGCCATTTTATATTGCAAGCCGTGCCATTATGGTGGCACATAGCTTCATACACACACACACACACACACACACACACACACACACACACACACACACACCCCTGCTGCTGCAGGACACCAAGCCACACCACCCGCTCAGAGGGCTGCCCCCTTTCCTGCGGAACGTCTCTAGGGTGGGCGTTCTGCGGCCGTGTTGCCGACTGCAAGGAAGCCGCTCCTCATTGGTTCCTGGGTGCACGGAGCTGGGGGGTGGCGAAGGAGTGCGCGACTGCGTAGCCCCAGGCCCGTTCTGCATGGTCGTGAAAATGCAGTGCGGCACACCCGCGACGCGCCCATGCTTCTACGCAAGGCAAGGCCTCCGCAGGCCCCCACCAGGCGCGGCCCCTTCGAGCCTCCGGTGGGGCGGCCGAGGCCACGCGTGCGCCTGCGCCCCGCCAGGACCGGGACCGGCCGTGGTCAGAGGGACGGCGCACAGGCAGGTGCACGGCACGCCCGGCACCGGCTCGTGCTGCCCCGTCTCTGGCTGCGCAGGGGCCACAGCGCCCAACGTGCCGGAAGCCAAGCGGCCACCTGAGCCCGTGGCAGCGCACGCGGGGCCAGCAGCCAGCGAAGAGCTCGCGGCGCCCTGGAGAGCAGCGGGGAGCCGCAGGCAGCCCAGGGCGCTCCGGGCCGCCAGCCCGTTCCTCCTCGCGGACGCCCCTCACGCCCTCTTACCCTCCTCCTTCATGGTGCCTGTATCCATGCGCCCTTCCAGCACGTAGACGTTGCCAGTTACGGTCCTGACGCGGTCGAAGGCCATCCGTTCCACCACCGCGTTGCTGTGCCAGTATGCCCCATCCAGGTCTCTAAGATGGGAGCGGAAAGGCGTGTCCCACAATCAGCCAGCGAAGAGCTGAAGGAACGACCAACGGCACCTGAGCATGGCGCCCCCGTGCGGGCAGAGGGGCTGCACCCAGCCGGCAGCGCTCACCCGCCGGCTGACCAGGCGCCCGGCAGCACCCACTCCTGCACAGCCGGCCCAAGAGGGGCAGGGAGGGCCGGGGGGAGGGGAGCGAGTGGGCAGCTGCCTGCACCCCACTGGTTCCAGGCGCAGAGGCAGCCTTCCACACGAAGCCGAAGCCTCGGAGGATCGTTCCAGTTATTGAGAAAGGGCTTGTGCGGGTCACTGTTTTTATCTAGAACAGCGCAGAACAGTCCAGGGAGAATTACTGGGAAGTCGCGTTTTGAAAGCCAAAGCTGCTAAATGTCCTTTTGCCAATGCTACACCTTAAAGAAAAGGCATCCAGCTTGTTGCCGGAGTTAACTAACGCGAGAGACAATGCAGAGCAGAGTGTTGGGCCAGGATCCAGGAGACGCGGGTTCTAGTCCTGACCAGGCCAGAAAGCTCCCTGGGTGACTTTGGGGCAGCCGTGCGTTCTCCGTCTAGCCTACCTCACAGGGCTGCCTTGGGTCCCGTGGAAGAAGAGCAGCGGCACACAAATGGAACAGATAAAACAAGCCGCAGTAATTGTTATTTCTCACCGGACTCCACCGTTCCAAACTCACAGAACGGAAGCAGAAAGGACCGAAAGCAAAGGGTACCAAAAGCAAGTCTGGCCATTCTTCTCGAAATGGCGGAAGCGAAGGCGATCCTTCGGTGGAGGGGGACGCGCTGCAAGGCCCCTTCCTTCGCCTCGCCTCGCCGGGGGGGGGGGGGCAAGAGCGCAACCTGGGCTCGGCCTCCCACCGCAGCCCCCTCAGAGCAGGAGGAGCGGCCCGCCTCTCTTCCCCGTACCCTGAGCACTCAGCGCCGCCCAGTGAAGCAGGACAGACGAGGCAAAGGGACACCGCGCTTAGCAAAAGGCAAAGAAAGTTGCTTGCCTCCGTTTTCCTTCCAGGCACACGGCAGAGCAGCTGTTGATCACTTTGAGCCGCCATCCGCTGAGACAGATGATTTGCTGCCCCTTTGCAAATCAAATTAAGAAGCTTGTTCAAGGCTAGTTGTTATTTCTGCCCTCATCGGACAGCCTGTTTCAACAACCCTGGTGCTCACTTGCACAACTGCCCCCCCCCCCCAAAACAGGGGGGTCGGGCAACCCGTTGGCCCCCCCCTGAAAAAAGCAAGCTGGCGCCTCTCTAAGGTGGCCCAAACCCTGACGTTGCGGCCGAAGGGATGTGTCCCCCTGGGGCTGGAACATGAGGCATTGCATTGCACCGCCCCAGCCCAGCCCCGCTGCGAGGCTGCAATGGAAAGGAGGGCCACCTGATCAGCCCTGGTCCTCGCAGAGGGAGAAAAGGCTGCACGGAAACAGCAGCGCCGTAACTGAATGGCACACACGGAGCGGCATGCGTGTGCGCCATGCGCCCGCCAGCCATTCAGCGTGCACACGCACAACACGCACGCACACTTCTGAAAGCCCTGGGGAGCTGGGGGCCTGCCGCCTGGGGGCCACGGGAGCACTGCTTCCCTTGAGGGCAGCAGTGCCGCAGCCAGCGGGGAATCCACCCTCGCAGAGGAGCACACGCAAGGACGGAGCTGCTGCCTGGGGAAGCGCAGGCGCCGCCCCATTCACAGGCAAGGCCAGGCGGGATCCCCGGACCGGCTGGGCTCCCCTGCCGGGGCCTACGTGAGCCCGGAGTGCCCCGCGGGAAGGCGATGCCCGGGCTGGGGGTCCTGCACCGCCCGCCCCGCTCTCAAGGTCGGTCATTTCAGGCCTGAGCAGACTCCGGCCCAGTGGGCTGGATTTGGCTTTGGGTAGCTTTTGTTTCAGCATCTAAAATGTGTCAACTTCCTTGGGTACCTTGGCAAAAAGGTGGATTAGAAGTGTATGAGTAGCCAGAAAAACCTCTATGAAAGAGTGAATTATTCCAACAATGTTTAAAAAACACCTTTTAACGTAATATAAATGGCACTTTTTACGTATCTATTCCTTCAGCTCAGAGCCTACGCACGATGGCCACATATGTAAAATAGGGCACAGCAGAGCGGTCCGAGGCCAAGCTGCCTCCCAGCAGTGTCACAAAAGACAATGGCCTTGCCACCCCCGTCCTCAGAGGGGGTGCATTTATTAACGCCCCCCAAAAGGGTGCTCATCGCCTTGTGACATGTGACGGCCAACACATGAAGGCACCACTGGCCAGCCTTGAAGCTTCCTGTTAGGGCCCTCAGGGCAGAAGCACACAAGAACAGAACGCCTGAATCCTAAAACTATCCTTAGATGATTCCTGAAGGACTGCGAGAACAAGCACGGCCTCGTAACATCACCCTGACACGACGACGGGGGAGGAACAGGCGGGTTAGCTACTCACTGGGGAGAGCAAACCAGCAGCGGAGAGCAAAGGCCAGGCGGACGTGCCCGCTCTTCTTCAGGGTCTCTGTGCATCACACATACGGGGTCTGCACCCGCTCGGGCCCCGTCGGGACGATGCGCCTTGCCCCGCTTTTCTGGCAGGAGCCCCCCACCCCCCAGTGGTGGCGCCTGTGCTTTTAACAAGCATGCAGAAATGGAGGTCACCGGACTTTCACAGAGGACCATTCCCTACCGTCTCATCTTCCTCGTGGTTTGTGTTGGTGGAAGCCGTCTCCAAGGCCACCTTGGAATCTGCCCGCACCAGCTGCTTCTTCCTTGGTATGTGGGCTTTGGGAGTAGCAAAAATAATATCGCACAAGTGCCGGGAAAGTTTCTGGGAGACACCCCTGGACAGTTGCTGTCTGCTTGGGCCAAGCTCCTGGTTGCACTGGGACAACACACCTCCTCGAGGAGGCCGTTCAACTCCCTTTCTTTCCAAGGGTTCTTCTGGTTTCACAGGATCATAGTTCACATCGGTAGCATTAAGCGCCATGTCAAAAGTCTCATTACAAGCTGGTTCTATAAGAAATTCACCATCCTGATCGATGGAAGTATTCAGGCCCTCTCCATTAAGGTCACTTCGTGGTCCCGCTGGGTTGGATGTGGTCAGAGTTTGCTTTGCTGCGGGGGAAGGAGGGACCTTTTCCTTGGGTGGGCAGGGTGCCTCATCAGCTGCAGAGAACACGAGAAACACAAGCGACGCCGAACTTTTCAGGGCTAGCTTATGCACACCCACATGGCCAAGCCGTGGTGCTTGCTTTAATCAACGCTTCTCTTATCGAAACAGACCTCGGGTGGCAGGGCACCAAAAGGCAAATGATAAAAATATCAGAAAAATAACAAAATTAAAACGTTTTAAATGGCCAAAACCAGGTACAAAGCAAACAATGCAATGAGTAATGTAAAAAGTACAACTTTGCAGCACCTGGTGATCCCCCTCAAGTCCCTGGGTGGCCGAGTAAATTCTTAAAAGCCTCTGGAAAGAGAAACATCTTAGCCTGGCACCAAAAAGATGGCAGATCTGTCACCAGCCAAGCCACAGGAGCAGTTATTCCAGAGGATGGCGGCCACCAGGAAAGGGTGGCAGGCGTCCCATCAGCCCCTGCAGCTGGGAGCGAATCCCAGCATGCACGGCTCCTGCCTGCCCCGCCGCCTTTCTCCGTTTGCTGCCTGATGCACGTTCTCAGCCAGCTGCCACTTTTCCCTGATGTTCCGCAGAGCCCCCCCCCCCCCCATAGCCGCACCCTCTGTGCCCAGGCCCAGGCCCAGGCCCAGACCCCCCCGGCCCGACACGCGCTGCTGCAGCAGATCGCTCATGTATCCCATCCCACTCAAAAGACCGCAGCTGATCAGAAGAGGGGGGCTGAGGAAGAACAGTGCAATGGCTTCAGACATCACAACAAACAGTGTGGGTAGACAGAAACCTTGGAGTCCTTCCTGCGAATCCCCACGGCTCGCAGTAACCGGCCGCACCATGCTTCACCGTGTTTCCAGCACTCACACGTCACGCCAGGCCTTCCCCAGGATGGCCTGCCACCAAGTGTGAACCCAGCCACGGGCTCTCACACCCTTCCATGCAGGAGGGCTGCTGTGGGCGGGTGTTCCTTCAGGGCCTCCCAGCAACCGAGCTGTCCTGCTGCGGACACCGCCTGGGCAGTGCTGGCGGGCACTGTGCCCCACCCGCACCCCCATTCCGGGGAGCCTCGTTTGGTCGTGCCAACGGGGCTAAGGACCCTGGTCAGCAGTTCTCAGTGCTACACGCAGCACGAAACAGAGAAACAAGTGCACGTCACCTGACATTTCTACACGACTCTGATGGAGAAGGGGGAAATGGAACATGGAACCAAGAACACTTTCCTCAGCGTGCGCAAGACACTCCCGTCCCACCCTGAGGGCAACACCTAGCAGGACAGACGCCCACGCGCCACCTATGCCTGCGCACATGCAGGCACACACAGATAAAATAAAGTGATTAACACCTCTTGGCAACAGCTTCGGCGGCAGCTTCTGTTTCATGCGTGTGAAGAACTTGTGAGGTGATTCGGAAAGCAGGGGACCCCTTACCCCACTGCACGTGTTTTTGCTCGTCACTGTACCAGGTGCTGAAACAGGAAAGGCAACAACTCTTTCAGCTTCAGGTCTCCAGAAAAAAGCGAATCCCACACGCCCCCCAATTTAACACGTGCACAGTAAATTAAATCACAGCAGGAGGAAAGTATAGTACTGAGGAAGTCCAGATAGGCTTCTGGAGGACCTGGCGGTTCTCTGGAACACCTCACATACCATTAGTTTGAAGCTGCATTTATAAATCAGTTGACCATGCCAGCTATTTCCCCACAACACTGTTGTGCCATTGCCTGTTTGTGCTCACTTCCAGCCCCGGAATGCCTCCGGGAATGACTACTTGCCGTCTCCAGAGGGGATATTGGGAGATCTATCATTCAAGCATGGGTTAAAGCAGCCCTTTGCACGCAGGACAAGAGCACACAGCGTACAGGACAAGATGGAGTGAAACGCAAAGCTCTACGGTAGAGAAAAGTAGGCAAAAGTAGCAAAGGAACCAGTAAAGATACCTGGCCGGTAGATCGAGAACAAAGCAACGTCTCACAGCAAGAGCCTGGAAACAGCGGTGGCTTGGCCAACGGCCACTACCCCAGCTAGGGGCAATAGCCAAGGGTAAAAGGCGAAGATGCACCTCACCCACTGCGGAACTTGCAACCGAGACGCTTTTGGAAGGAATGATGCCACAAACCTGCTTTCGCATGGGTCTCTCCAGAAGGGTCCTCGGCCAGCTGTTCCTTTGGGACATGTTCAGGTGCCCGGCTTCCCAAAAGATGCCGCTCAGGAGTGAGAAGGTAATCTAGGGTGCCATTTGCGGCTCCTAACTTATCTGCTAGGGGCTCCTTCAGCTGTTTGGCAAGAGCTGCCCTGGCCTTCATTCTCGAGAAGATTTTGGCTGGAGACTCGAGCGAGGATGGCCCGCAGGCTTTACGCTTGAGGAGAGCACTGTGCGCAGGTGGCTCCCCTGCCTGCTCCACACGGGAGGGCCGCAGCCCCGGCCCTTCCGCAGGCTGGATCTCGCTGAGGTCAATCCACTCCTGGGCATGGCGGCCCCCCGCTAGCAGGGTGGAATGGAGCAGGTTGCCGCCAGGCCTCCCCTTTCCCATCGGGGCGAGCGGTGCCGGGGGACCAGCAGCTGCTTCGGCACCCGAGCCGGAGGGGCAGCTCGCTCCCACTGGAAAGCGCGCCAGGTCCTTCACCGGCGTGCCGCCGGGGACGCGGTCGAGGCAGACGGCCTTCAGGGACATGTCTCTTCGGCCGGCCGGTCCTGCCCGGGCTCCCTGGAAGGCAGAGGGAACGAAAGGGACCGGGCTGAGCAGCGCCTCCACACCGCCGCGCCGCGCAGCAGGAGCGGGCGCGTCCCGGTTCACCGCCGGGCCTCCCGCCCGCGGCGCTGGCAGGGACGGGGATGCGCGGCCCGCGCCCACGGGCCAGAGTCGCCCGCGTGGACCGCGTGGGGGGCCGCGCCGGCTCTCCCGAGGGCGCTCCCCGCCGCCCCCATGGCCAGGGCGGCCCGGCCGGCCGCGCCTCACGCCCT